TTGGAGCAGAACAGGAATTTTAAATTCCTCACTACTGTATTCGTCATCTAGCCTCAACAAACATGCATAATTCCTAAGAGCTGCACAGTGCTTTACAGATTAAATGAACCAACGGACACCCTATTAGCTCTTAACAGGACCCTGCTACTTCCCAGCAATGTTTTCTTCAAACCCCCCCCGGCCAGGATAGCAAAGTGATGACCTGCCATACTTTGACTGTGACTTTGACAAAAGGTTTACCCTGAGCCAGGCCATACAACAATGATAGCAATAATACAGGCTTAGTAGTATACACTTGTTAAAAAATAATAATCGGTACATATGTTGCAGATGCGCAAAATCCTGGTATCAGAATCGGTATCGGGAAGGAAAAATGGTATTGGAACATCTCAAAACTTAGGGCTGAAAAGAGAAAGATGCTGGGTTTTTTATACAGGTTGTAGCAGCCATCACAAACAACACCTGACGAAATCCCCCTGACTTTATATTTTTAGGTGGTATTAAAGCCCAGTGACTGAAAGGCTCCGAGCACACCACTCTGTTTTGTAACAGCTGTGCTCTGCAAACAGGTATCAACCATGACCTGAATCAGCAAACTTCAACTCTACCATGAAAACTGGTCTGTCACTGCAGAAGTGTGACTTTTGTTCACACAAAAGTCAGCGATCCAATGTGCTCACCCTGCCATAATGATAGCTTGTAAAATTATGTCTTTAGAAATGTGGAGTACAAAACTGAGTGACTGTGAGAAAGTGCCTAACAGAAGAGGGAAATGAGGGGCCAATTACTGAAAATGGCCATGCCCTTTTTTCATACATCTTATAAATATACATCAAGATATCTTGTTAGCATAGCGGAGATTCAGCTGTCTGCGTAAATGACCCGGTGAACATAAAAAACAGTCCATAAACATACACTATAACCTCAGTTGAAACAAATCCACGCTTCCAGCTGGTCAATCTCATTAGCATCTACCTCTGCCCTGGGCGAGAGGCACTACAGCACTGACAGTTGAAAACACTTCAATCATACTTATCTAAACAAACACACATCCTGTACAACAATAATCAGGGCATTAAATAAAGTAAATGAGCACCTTTGTCACAATCAACTGTTTGCTACATTGCCCTTGAATGTACTTTGCTATTAGGGTTATAATGACCAACCTGTAGATGGTTGTGGATTCATAACGCCATCAGACAAACCTATGGGCTAAGAGCAGAACCCATCAGCCATCAGCAGCTGTCATTCGTGTTCTATGTCTAGCTCTTCTAAGGAACTCTCAATTCACAGAAAGATGCATAGCTCGGGGCAAAATTCTGCCTGTCTACCACCTCAATGCAGCAGCTGCGACCTGCATACAGTGGGACTTCACAGTGACAGATTAGTGATAGAGTGTGCATTCACAACAAAATTGTTACATTAATTTACGTCAGAGAAAAAAAACAGGCTTAATGAGCAATAAATAAATACTCAGAAGAGTGAGACTGATTTGCACGTTTGTTAATTGCAAGTATGAAGGCGGTTTTTGGGCGATGTGTTACTTCTCCATTCAGATGACTTTTTTTTGTGCATAAGCGTTGTACTGATTTGTACTATCTTTTTTTTTTACTGATACAATTCTCCCACAAGTCTGTATACACCCACACACATGCTCACACAAAATGCAAACTCCATGGGGTCTATGGATAGACAAAATGCCATCGGCCTCGCATACCACATTTGTTTCATTATACAGACTTTTGATTTAGACTGAGCCATGAAGGATAAAAACCCTATTGTTATGCTAATAGTAAGGGCTAAAAGGCAGATGTGACATACTTGAAATTACAGTTCTAGTTCTAGTCCTGAAAACATATCCCCTCTCAATAAGGTAGACGTCATTATCTTTTTCTGTCATCTCATCTCATACCCTCAGTTGATAAAAACAAAAACAGTGCATGGTATATAACACAGCACACGATTGACAGAGTTTGGTAAGAGAAGATAATGAACAATATGCAAACATTGTCTTCTGTCATAGAAAAGGACTCAGTGTCTGAATGAATTAGATTTAATTTATTAAAAATGGACAAAAACGTGTATGTAGAGATGTCGGATTCCTGGTTCACTACTTCTATACCAATAAGGCAGAAAGGGGAGTAAATACAAAAGTGTGCACAGAGGAATAGGTCATAGGGCTTTATAATGTCATTTCAGGTGGCTGCAGTTATACTGTATGGTCCACTGTGAATTGCCTTACTCTGTGAAACGTGTCTGGATTAAATGTTCCTTTCATTTTACAGGAGATGGTGTTTTGTCATCAGTGACTTGTCACAAAGCAGCACTGGACTTGAAATACTTGCTGTCATGTGTTTATGCTAAGATACAGTACTAGACTTTACAGTTTGTACTACACCCTTCTTTTCTTTACAGTACAATAATGTCAAGAGACAATGTTGCAGTATCAGTCAGGTACAACATGATCTGCTGGAGACATTGGCAGCCAGTATGAGAGACAGATTTGATAGCTTAAAAAGAGCCTGTGTTTGAACATGTTTGTTGTAATCTATATCAGAAGAACAGTATGTCTTGGTGTTTTCTTTTCTTCTTTGGCAGGAAACCCAGAGCTCCCAGCTGACTGGATCCTGAGGAAGGGGTACAGGTGGTTAAGTGCTGTAGGTAGCCTGTTTTTCAGCCAGCCCTTAGGAACCAGAAGACAACAACTTTAAGAGCTGTACAGTATGTACGTTCAGTCCCCTGGTGCACACACTTGGGAGCTTGTGCGCGAGAGGGATTCAAGGCAAATTTGAGATGTGTGCTAAGTGGGCCTGGAATCAATGTCTGGGGCCAGACAAAGCTGCTTATGCAGCAGTTCAAGGTTCAAGGCCAAGACACAATGGCCCATAATACAGATGCACTGATACGGTGTTAGGGAACTTAATATGAGGGAAAGAAGCGGTTATTGTTGATCCTGAGTCCCTGCTGAATAAAGGAGGGAGCTCAAAGGTGCAAGAGAATGTCAAGGGACTAACTGTTTGTCTCTATGTTGAAAGTGGCATGACTGGGGAGGAGGCAGGGTCAGAAAATAAACAGTGATGAGATCAATTACACTGTGTACTAAAGTCCCTCAATCACAAAGCCCCACCTGAGCAACATCAGCTATGTTGTTGGGTACTTTGAACTAAATAAAAGAGATCCACAGAGGCCCAGGAAGCGGGTGTGGCAACTCTCTGAGGTAACAAAGTGAGGTGGCCATGCCAGTTTAAACGCGTCACTGGCGAGCTTTGCTAAGTGGCAGAAGAATTGACGGGGGATGTTTGGGCTGTTCAAGGAACTCAGGAGGTAATAAGGTCCATTTTGTGTTACCTCTCTAATGGGATGATGAGTTTAAAGAGTTAAGAGTGAGTGTGGCAAAATCAAAAAGAGAGGGGAGCATTCGTGTCTCATGAGTACAGGCTAAGAGGATTTGAGAAGGCAGCGGTACACACATCATGTTCTAGGCCACAACACTTGAGTGGAAGTACAAATGTGTGTACCATACAATAGTAAAATATTATATCTTATTATATGTGTGACATGTGCTCGTACTGGCTCAAAACATTCAAAGTATGGAAGACAAGCTGCCTCACGTTTTGACGTTGTGTTGCAGGCTGGCCAGCGTTGGACATTAGTTGTAGACACAAGTAAAGGAGTGGCTCTGTGACAAGCACTGCGAGGTGTTTGAGATCCAGTTACAGACACTGACACTACTTTATAATTAAAGTAGCAGAGACTAGTTTTACCCACGGCGGAGAGCAAAAAAGACAAGCAGCTCTTAGCCCCATGAATACTGTCACTAAACAATGCACAATTTTAAAAGAAAAAATGTGTGTCTGTGCATCCTCCTACACATGTACATGAATGTGTGCAGCCATATTCAGCATTGCTCCTGATCACTTTCTTTAACTTCCATAGCCTGAACAAAATGATCAGCCTTGATTCTCATTTGTGAAATCTTACAATAAGCCACGTGGGAGGGAGGAAGGGATGGAGGGAGAGGGGGGGCGAGTATATATAACAATATAAATACACTTGAATATCATCCGTGACAATGGATATACTAAAAAAAAAAAAAAAAAGAATAAATAACGACTTGTTACACATAAAATGTGACTGGTGGGATTTTAAAATGATTCCCTAAGGGCGACATCTACTGACCAAAGTCCAGTCCTGAATAATTCGGGCATGACTCTTAACTAAAACCCTCAAGTGTTGAGTGGTTAAGTTGATAATTTGACAGTTTCAACAAAAACAACCCCATCGATTCCAGGTTAGGACTACAACACCCACTACGAGCCCTCTGCCGGCACAAGAAGATGTATGTGTGTATACAGGACTTGGACTACGCCAGCCTATGCCAAAGTACGGGGTATTAAAGCATTAAAGCAGGGCGTGAGCCTAAATATAGCCTAGGAACCAATTTGCTTAGGGCAGCCTGATTTTCCACACGTGATACCGGTGATACAGGCCGCTGTCCCTGGTCCTGAAATTGTACCGGGTCCATCAAATGCATGTGATCGGTGTTCACATAAGAAAGCCGTGCCAATTTCTAAAAAACACAAATCTAAATGTGAAGCCTAGAAAAGTGAAAGATGAGCTAGAATGCGCCTAAAAGCTTGAAAGTATAATGCGGGTTTGCAGATGCAGATAGTTCGATACACACAAACTGCAATTCCTCATAAGCAACAGTGCGAGGCGTATGTCTGATGCAGTTCAGGGGGAAAGAGAATGGGAGAGAGAAAGAGAGTTTGATTGATCATGTGGGCTATGGGAGCCTGCGAGAGTTGTCGAAAATTGCTGCATAGACGCCCCTTAGGCACCTATCTGGTACCCACTGACTCCAAACCATGCCGTGGCCAAAATAACCACAATTCACCAGAGTGCCTGTTACCAAAAGCCCCCTAAGCCAGCGGGCTGTTAACAGACCGTTCATTCTTCCGGGTTGGACTTCACCGGTAATCCACAATACATTAACTTACCGCAGTCCTCACACAAGATCTTCCCAACATCCTTTTTTAGGTTCTTTGCACTCGTGTCCAGAGGCGCAAACGATGCCTTGAAAACCAAGGGCTCGTCAGTGGGGTCCATGAAAAAAATGTACTTGTGGTTCTTCTTCACTTTGGTGCACGGAGCCTCAGATCCAAATTCCCCTACGGTGACGAGCTGTTCTCGCTCCAGACCCCCGCTGTTTAGGGGCCAAACATCCAGCACTTTGACATTCACACGGTACGGCTCCGCGGAGACGTTCACAGGCGTAGACTGCACCTTGCCCTCGATCACCACGGCGGATTTGTAAGCCTGGTCCTGCAGGGAATTCAAACTCGGGGAGTAGCAGGCGAATGAGACCCCGATGACCAGCATGGATAAATGTACTGAATCAAGCCTCATGCCGCCTGCTTTGGCTCGGTGGTCGCTGGTCGCGTTGCGGCAGGGCTCTCTCGGCTGCGGGGCGATGGCGATGGAGCTGGGTTGAATGAAGAGACAGCAAGTAGGCTCCAGTAGCACGGCAGCGCGGCAGACCTTGCATAAGTGTCCATGCCATCGGGATCCGCTGCTTTTTCGAGTGATTTTCAATGGGTAAACAGCAGCTTTGAAACGGGGGAAACCGCGGGATGATGCTGGGTTTCAAATCCAGTCACTGCTTTCTGCTAATAATACGGCATCGTAGATAGGCTAAGCAAGGAAATTGGCGGATTCTCCCCTCCAGAAGATGCCCCCTATGCTGCCATAGTAGCCTTAACTGCAAGACGACGCCACTCTTATCTTTGCCCAAAAATTGCAGTGGTGGGGTACCGCTATGATGGTTTTCTGTATCATCTGCAGCGGAGGGAAAAAAGACGCAAAATGCTGCAGTGAACCACAAGTTTGGTAGTCCGGCCGCAAAACATAAGCCACGTTTCATTCCAAAAAATAAAAGAATATTTCTCGTCGGCAGCTATAACGCTAATACGGCGCCTTCCACCGCGGCTCTCTCTCCGCCTCCCCCACTAGCCACAGACGGAGAGAAAATAATGCCGATTGCCAAGGGGCTCCGTCAACAAAAACGCAGGATTGGAGCACTGAGATACAGGCAACCGATGGACCAAAGGGTCGATCTCCTCACTCCCAAAACCCAGTTACTGTATGTCAATCACTCCATGGTGTTTTATCAGCGGTGATCTCACGTTATAATGAAACCAACGAAATCCTAAATCCATGACTGTCCCTCCTCAAAATCTCATCTTACTGTAGCCAAGGCATCACTCCAAAAAAAAAAAAAAAAAATTAAATACATTCACATTAAAAAATGCAGCCGCATATAGTCCGGTGGGCCTAGAAAAATCATATGGCTGCGATGACTAAGGCTGCGAAAGCATTTCAGATTCTTCAAGAGACTGTTTTGAATGAGTTTTGCGTCTCATCCCATTAAGTCATGCCCTGCATTCAGGTCACATTCGCTGCTCTGCCGCTGAAAAAACTGATGTTGAAGCACCGCATTAAATCCATACAGCTAAAACAGCAGCATTATCGGGTCCAAAGCAGAGGGAAACTATTTATAATCACTTCAGAAGGAAGGAATTCAGTGAAAGTGTGCCTCGCTGTGTCTTTACAGTTATAATTTAATGTGTTCACATGATAATGTAGCTCTGAGAGGACACTTTGACAAATGACTAAACCTAACTGGACACAAATTAAAACAGGGATATTAACACGTGTGGTTATAACCAATTGCAATGTTTAGATGGAGTTATGGTTGTGATGGTTTGGTTTGGTTTGGTTTGGTTTAGCCTAAATGCCAAAAAGAATGCGGATACAGGATGTTGTACTGACAGTATTTACAAAGAGCGACATCTGCTGACCGCAGTGTATTTATGAGCAATTTGACACATACTTGCTGTAAATGCTGCTGTAAATCAAACAGCAAAGGTACTAACTTGGGAAAAAGCAGAACACCAAATCTGAATATCTGTCCAATAAAATATTCTCACTGTGGAATGAAATAATAACGTTATCAGAGACATATGATGAGTTTAGGGCAATGCATATGTTTATATTGAATTATACTAAAACGGTGAGCCCATGGGTCTCAGAACAAACTAATTAGTGTTGTGCATTATAAAATACATACATTACATTTACTTATGTTTTCACGTAAGCACATGTCCGGAAGCCCTGACGCAGACGTGGCTGCTCTCCGTGGTCCTGAAACTTTACAGGGCCTATAAGTTAGCCCCATAGTGCTGATGTAAGGCGTACAATCTTTAATACTTGTGTGAACTGAAGTCCTCTTCCCTGTAAGAGTGCTTCTAAAACAACACTCTTAACGCAAACACACACACATAATAGACACACATCCGGGTATGCCTGAGTGTAAAACTAATTCCCTCGAAGATTCAACCAAAAGAGAGACACGTGTCACAATATCGACCCCGAATTGTACACGTAACCAGGGTGATGATAGATAGAAGCAAAGCTCACTTGTTTCTTTAGACACTGCCCTCCATTTTTAGTTGCAAAATAAATGTTGCCCTACCTGTTACCATTAGAAGGCACAGCTGCAACGACTCAATAATACCAAGAGGGGGCGCCACTCCACCGAGTTCCCACAGTGCGTGTTGACATCAGAGGTGAAGCGTGCGGCGTTGAACTTGTGCGTGTGTCGCTCTCCGTGCCACGACTCGCCGTTTCTTGTCCATCTTGTGAAGCAAGCAGAAGCAGTCAGCTGTGCTGTCACAAAAAAGGCCTGCGAGCGTATTCACATGTGTCCGTTTCCCTGTCTTGTCTCCTGCAGCACGCCGTCGAGGCTTTAAGACGCTCCTCCGCCCGCAGACTGAGCGGTGTAAGGTAGGTTGTGGGATCTCGCTTGGTGGAATGACGCTTTTACTTACATGTCACTCGGATGGTTAGTGTCCTGCAGCATTTAAGTGTCCTAACATGCAGCCAAGCATGTGTCATCGCTTAGCAGAGTTTACAGAAGCATGACACGCAGCATATACGGCCGCGCGTCTGATCTGAAATAATAATGGAGCTGCGTTTGGAGCAGCGCCACAGCATTCCTCTGTCGGGATGTAGGGCAAAACTTTGTGAGGTGATCACAGCGGCTGCCTTTTTTTCAAACTGCGACGACACCTGTTTTGAGGCTGAAATTGCGTTGGACGTGGCCTCGGCATCCGAACATAGGTTGTTTTTTTTTACTGATTCATATTCATGATGAAATAGGCCAAGTAGGCCTATTGATTGATGATGGATTAATTAAATTGACAGGGTTTTTTTCTGAGCCAACACACAGACACAGGGTGTATATCGTCTGTAAATTGGACAGAAATGTAACATGGCTCATGGTGAGATTTTGCATTACAATGTCGGAATTTCGAAATGGGGATTTATTTATTTTTTTATGGGCAATTGAGGCCCCGAGAGAGAGAGGGATGGTACATCTTACGCAGGCTAGATAGAAAATGGATATCAAACAATAAAACCTCGTCTGGGTTTCAGTATAGGATATATAGGAATTACTTACACATTTTGCATGCATCCAGACTGGCTGAGGGGAAAACAATAAAGGAAAGAGCGCTTCACTAAAAGAGTAACACAATAAGGGCAGCTGCTGCTTTGCTTTAACAGAACGAAATTAAAGTAAAGAAATAAAAAGCTTGGACTCAAATGAAATTCAACGAGACTGACATAATGAAATAATGGTACAGCAAGGAAAGGTGAGGATAAAGCAACCAGGCGGATAACGTGCATGCAACTTGCATAAATAGGCCTAAATCATACTCAGAATGATACAGAAGTTATTTACATTTCCATCTTTTTATTATTTAGTTTAAATTCATTTTTGCTTCAGTCGAGGTTGGTTTGTCTTATTATGGTAACCAACAATTTATTAAGTGTTTTACTTTCCCAGACTTCTTGGATTTTGTGTGACAATAACTGAGGATTGCTGTGGAGCCTATCAGGAGGCCGGGCGACCTTTGAGGCAATAAGAGCAGAGCATATTTATATGAGTTTATATAACCAATCTTAACGAAGACCGAGGTTAAATAAGAAAGTTAGCAGAGAGAAAATTAGCTTAAGAGTGACAGGCCTAACCCCTTTAGGCCGGCATGCTCTCCTCGTCTCACATAGACAGCAACTCAAGCAACTCATAAAGAGGTTTTATGTTCTGGCCCAAACGTTATTTTGGACTACTGGTTTTCAATAAAAGAACCTCACTTATTTCTTTACATGTTCATTACAGCGTTTTAAGGCTAATGGTTGTTGTATTGTCAATAATTAATTCGAATATTTTACCTCTCTAATACGATAAAAAATATATATATTTGTTTTGTATTGCTTTGGTCTAACGATAACGAGCAGAAAATAGAAATATGAATAATGACTTCACCTGCCTTTCTGCAGCATTCTGACGTAATATCACATTTATATGCTCATGAACTTTAGTATCATGATTGTGGTGCATTGAATGAATTGAAACAAAACACTTTTTACAAAAGGATATTCATTATGTTGAATGCATTTATACAAAAGTTAACTACATTTGACCATAAAAAAACATTTTAAATAATATATATGTCTTAATATTCCACTGTGTGACACAATCAAGAGTTATCTATAAATAAAAAAGACATCTATAAATATAGACATATTTTAAGAGTTTTATTTTCTGGGTTAGAATACCTTTATTGGTATTACTGAACTCCATTCCTGAACTCCAAGGCCTTCAGACAGCCTTTAGGATACCCACACTGAGGAAATGTCCACGTTGAAAAGTAACATAGTTTCTTATTTACTATTAACAATTCTGTCAATTTGATGCATTGTTTTTCTTTTTTAAGAGGAAAAATAAAATAATATGTTCAAGCAATACACAATCAGATCTAAAAACCTGTTTAAAAACTTATCACGGATCAAATTACATTGAAGCAAAAATAATTCCTCCCCTTTTAATACAAATATTTCTGAAGTGCATAACGAATATTGACTGAAATAATTCTGAATGAGCGTCCAGTTTAAACAGGGTAAAGCAGCCAGCCATCCTTTGTATTTAGGAGTTAGTTAGCTGGAGTCCACCGCATAGCAATATGGAACTCTTACGCACATTTACGCACACAAATAGTATTCAAGATATATAAAAAGGGAGAAGGAGATGTGGGAGATTCAGCATCTATGCAAAGGATAGTCATATAGAAGTGCTGTTCCACAATACTGGCTGAAATTATACGTGAAATTATTTTATATTAACATGTTATCGCATTCTCTAATCAATATTTTAATTCGACTTTTTAACTGAATTTATTGCCACCCCGACGTGTAAAGGCCAGGCTGAATTATAAGACAAATAGTCAGTTAGTTTTTCACATGCAAGCAAATTGCAGGTTTAATGACTCATATAAAACTCTGGCGCCATACTTCAAGCCAGTGTCAAAATAAAACAACTGCCTCACTTGTCATTTTCTATGCATATATGATTGCTGTCAGAGAGTTGTCAGAGAAAAATATTGAAACGCTCAGGAATAAGGTGCGGGGACTCAGCAATAGCAAAGTTGGCACAAACGAATTAAAGCTAATAAAATAAAAATCTAGGCCTTTATGTTGCCTATAGACGCTTCAAGAGAAAGGTCTGTGCAGTCAAATTTGTTTCCAGGTGGACAAGAAGGAAGATTAATTTCTGTGGAGAAAGTATCGCCAGCATGGGAACAGTATTTGCAATAACAGGTACATGGAAATGTGTTGATTTTATATTTTTATTTTATTTTTTTGGATAGGTAAATGCAAAACTAGAAAACTATTTGTTTATTTGTTCTTCTATTTGTGTGTAAAGTGGCAAACAATCAGACCGCATCGTCTGTAATATGGTGTAATGGGTATAGGCCTAATAGTCTATTGACTGTGTAAGCCTACAGCTCAACACGAGCATGATTCGGTCTTTTCATACAGTGACAGTAGGCTACAAACCTAAAAATGTGCAAAATAAGAGCACAGCAAATTACAGGAATTATCTGCAGGCCAGTCTGACACAGATCCATACAGATTAGGGTACTACTTACTCTGATATGCTGCTATAGGGTGGCACCGCCACCCTGCTGGATCCGGACACCTGGCTGAGGGGAACAGAAGAGAGAGACACACTGAAAATATCCTGGTGACTATCACGACTTATGTGCGGGCTGGAGTCTTAAATCAGATGACTTTAATCAGTCAAAACCAACTTGGCTTAACAGTCGCCCCGAAGGCCAAAGAATAAAAATAGTGCTATTATTCCATTTGTGTCTCGTGAGCGCGCTCGTGGCAGGCTACAGGCACCGCGTACAGTCCGAGGCCCGGACGGCCCCACTGAGGGCCCACTGAGCTCTGAGCACCCAGAGGGAGTTGTTTTACAAGATTCTTATGGGCGTTTTGATGCATTTTTCCTCCCTGAATATTTTGCATCTCAAATGACCTGAAACTGACCAACCAGGAAGGTTGTACACGTCCTCTTTCAAAACTTCCATGGTGAGTAATAATACTAAAAAAAGAAAGCGCCTGTTTGTACTGATTTTAATCTACCTATAGAGGCAAGTACAGGCAAACTTTGGTATAATGGCATCAACTGACACCGTGTGATCTGTGCTGCATCCCTAAATATTGTTTCTAAAACCATTATTAGAGGTTAAGCGATCTCTCTGTTCCTGGTCCGACATGCTTTGGCTATACTGTCTATTTTATTGCCATGCCAGGAAAGTAAAATTTGAATTTTAGTTGTGACAGAAGAAATTATAATTATTTATTTGAAAATAAGTAGGCTAATTTATAAGTAGCGTATCAAGTTTTAAAATAAATCATTTAAATAAATTATAGACTACTGCGGTGCCATCTCAGTGTATGTTATAAAAGTGGATAAAGGTTAAGGTGGACCAGTTAAATCAGAAGTTATTATTGATCATGCGCCATTGGCTATACAGGGGTTGTAGTGGGCAGATAAATCATGTACTCATGGTTATTACTCTTAATTGCTAATGTTACTTTATTAGCCTACTAGTAGGCCACCAGCACAGTGCCATTGAATGTTAAAAAATATATTTAATTTGGTAATGGTGATGAATGAATGAATTGATTATGACGCAGAACGTAAAGTTTAAGAATTAGACTTGATTTCCCTGACAGCCTTTTTCTTACTTGAGTCGAAAGAAATCAATGAGTTGGCCTCTATTTTGTATCCGCACACACTTAAATACGCCATATTTTTTTTTATTTAAGATTACCACAACTAATTCATCGTCTGTTAAATAATTACTACAGTAAACGTGTGCAGAGACTCTTATAATGTAACCAGTGCTAGTTTGTATTTTCTCCTCACAGCCCACTTTAAAACAGAGGGCAAGTCAGGGTCTTTCCAGGCAGCATCCTTTCCTTAAGCTGTACAGACAAATCAAAACTTAACTAGACTGTTGGGAATGCATTTCTTAGTAAAAACCCACTGGTTTCGTTTTCAGTATAAGTAAGATGACATTACACCTTGCGGAAGAAAACAAAGCCGTCCTCGCTCTGCATTAACGTCTCCCCCTTCGTCTTTTTTTTTTTTTTTTTTTTTTGTACCTCTGTGTAGATCTCGCGAGAGCTCCGGCGTTCGCTGTAGCTGGCCGTGGCTTTGCAGCAGACAGAGGGAGAAGGCAGGCAGGCAGCATCATGGCGGACAGAGACAGTGGAAGTGAGCAGGGAGGAGCAGCCACGGGCCCAGGCTTCGGTTCCATGCACCTAGCGACAGGAGGGGCGGGCTCGGCTTCCGGGCTCCAGCATGAGACGCAAGAGCTGGCGTCGAAGCGGGTTGACATCCAAAACAAACGCTTCTATTTGGACGTAAAGCAGAACGCGAAAGGCCGCTTCTTAAAGATAGCAGAAGTCGGGGCCGGTGGAAACAAGAGCCGCCTCACTCTCTCCATGTCCGTGGCGGTCGAGTTCCGTGACTACTTGGGGGACTTCATCGAACATTATGCCCAGCTAGGTCCGAGCAACCCGGGACTGGTACAAGACGAGCCCAGGCGAGCACTCAAAAGCGAGTTCTTGGTCCGAGAAAATCGGAAATACTATATGGATCTGAAAGAGAACCAGAGGGGACGGTTCCTGAGGATTCGACAGACCGTTAACCGGGGGCCCGGTTTGGGATCCACGCAAGGCCAGACGATTGCTCTGCCTGCCCAGGGACTTATTGAGTTTCGTGACGCTTTGGCTAAACTTATTGACGATTACGGTGTAGAGGACGAACCTGCAGAGTTGCCCGAAGGGTCATCATTGACTGTGGACAACAAACGGTTTTTCTTCGACGTCGGATCCAATAAGTATGGTGTGTTCATGAGGGTAAGCGAGGTGAAGCCAACGTACCGCAACTCAATCACGGTGCCCTACAAAGTGTGGTCCAAATTTGGGAATACTTTCAGTAAATATGCCGAGGAGATGAAGAAGATCCAGGAGAAGCAGCGGGAGAAAAGGGCATGCGAGCTGCAGCAACAAGAGGAGATGCAGGCGGACGATGGAGACGAGGATTGATATAGAGAGCAAAAAAAGATGCAAGAGTAATGAAAATAACAAGATAAATATAATTAAAAACTCTACTGTACAAAGAAAGAAATCTAAAGATTTAACTGTAATGGTTTAACTCCAAGGGAGCATCACCCACAATATAAGAAACCTCCACAACCTGACAGTTATGACATGTTGTCACTCATCGCTGGATGTTACCCCACTTATCCACATTAATACAGTAACAGGCTGCTAAACAAAGTAATAACATTATATTTGAACATTGTTTCCTACTTGACAAACAATATTGAACTGAGTGTTTATTTCCCTTATTAACAGAAAACTTTTGTACCAGTTAAAGCTATTGTAAGAAAAAAAAAAAAAAAAGAAGTGTTTGCAATGTTCAAATGGAATTATTGCCGAGTTCCGAGGAAAAAGCGTTTCCTTTCCATGTGAGCTAATGACTTCAGCACAAATCAGATATTTTAATTTTTAAACCAAAATTCAAAAAACTTTGTAAAAGGTTGTCACATGTACTTGCCATCCTATTTACCTTTACCTGTGAGTAGAGATGTGTTTACACATAAATCATATGAGGGCTAGGCCTGCTTCGGAAAACTGGTTAGATGTCATGCAGTATAAAAGGAACATATAGGCATTTTCATGAAATGGAATAAGTGCTCTATTTGTTGTGCAATATGCATTGCATAAAAATCAAATATATTGAACTGGTCAATGGGTCTCGACGTGATGACATTTGCCAGAGGCATTCAAAGAAATATTAATATTGTAATTTTGTTTCAGTTGAAATTGTTGCCATGCAGATGGTTATATTATAGACTACCTTTGTGTCTCGTTGTTAATGCAATGTGTTCATTTTAAAGGTACTAAATGTGTATTCGATAGAGGAAATGCAGTGACAACATGTAGCAAATGGCCTGAATTGCAGATTACTTAACAAGACAAACACCCTACACATACAGTGCTGAATGGCTTAGTGGACTGAAGAAAGAGGCAAAAATTCAGCAGAGCATTATTGGTTAGTACATTTGAAACAAAACGTATTGTGATCTTGTTCAGTCAGAAAAAGTCCAAACGGTGCCAAGGAGTGCTGTTGCTGCATGTTAATCTGCACTAAGATAGATTTCGTTGGTCTCCCAAAATATTGGCTCAAGGACCCTTCCATATGTATCTTTATCTGCCTATAGTGTACGAATCTCAAGTCTGAGTACCAAGTGATTTCCATCCAAAGGCTTGGTGTAGTTGTAGTGGAAGTCGTTTCAAAGCGTGATTGTAAAAGGAGTGACCTTGCGAACTGTAATCAAAATATCACCATCACACTATGAGGAGGGTCACTGAGGAGCACGCCTGGATAAGCCGAGGGTGAAGAGGGTTCGATTCACCTGTGGGTGAACCTCCAGTAGTGTGTTGCATGTGCCCATCCCTGTAAGATCTGAAGATGTGAAGTTCAGTGGGGCTACTTTGGATACATACTCATAGCTCTACTTCTAGATTTGTAAGCCCAAATATCTACCTGGGGGTGATGAGATTCAGTTTTGGTCTAATTGTAAATATTTGGGCTGCCACACGGAAAACAACTGGTTCTAATCCAGTTCAGTCGCATCTCATAGATGTGTGATAGCAGTTTTATAAACTCTGTCAGTAAACTCCAGAGAAACTGGCAACAATCAGATAATGTCAGATTTACCTCAGCATTGAATTAAATGATTGCTCCCATGTTTAGATTGACTGGAAACCAGCAAACTAGACTGTCCTTGACCACCTATTTTTGGAGCCTCTGGTATAGCCTAAAGATACCTGATTGGGAGCATCCTCTTCAGCATATAAACAACCTGGTGCCTTACACACTCCGCATGCTTACACGCTGGCCTGGTGCTTTGGATCGCAGTTTGGCTTCTTTTTTGTTATTTTTTTCCTCTTTCTTCCATTTTTTTTTTGTGTCTCAGCCCCCTTGTGTGCTAGCGCACGACTCGTGGTGCTAAAAGAGTTTGTTACAGACTCTTAAGAAAAAAAAATTGGAGCAGAATTCTTAACTTTTTTATGCTACCTTTCCTTCTTCCCTAACTCCATTGCCAGCCCCATTCCCCAGCCATCCAGGTATCGGCCTACATGTAAACATGGAAGGGGGTGGTCACCTAGATGCAAGATGATGCAGAAGAGTTGGCTCTTCACTAGCCAAGCGCATTAGCAGGGAGAGCAGGGGCTGATTGGGAACATCGGTAGTTGCCTGAAAAGATATACATTTTTGTCGGAAAGCCCCCTTTTAACTGCTCGTTCTATGGCTTGGGTAGTTACGTGTAAGTTGTAAGTCGCTCAATTAATGGGGAGCAGCAAGCATGTCTTGTTTTGTTTGTTTTTTTACGTAGTTTTACCTTTTCAGCGTTATTCCACATTATTTGTAATTTTGGAATGTTTTCGCCCACAAAAAATATATCTATTTTTTCTGTGCAACATTTCATCACTGTGTGCAATATCGTATGTGCCAATGGTGGCAATATATGTATATCAATTAAATATATGATTACTATTTGAAAGCATGTGGCTGAATTCCATGTTTATTTCTGATGAAGGAGATGTATGCCTTTATTTGCACTCAAAGCTCCATCCTAGAGGAAAATATAGTAAACCAAGGTCTTAGCAGCCTGTTGGGTCAAGCAGTTCACATAAGTACTTTACCTTGAAATAGAACAATGTCACTGCAAGTTTGCCTCTCTTTAGGAAAACGGTAAACTTGGCTTATGGGTTGTTGAAGGTAGACTATAAACACACAATGGAGTTTTTGTGAAAAGGAAAACGTAAAAATACAGTGAAATCTCCATTTTAGCTTTAAGCTAAGAAAAGGTGCTTCAGTCCAATCCTCATTAAGGTGTATGGTGAACTGTCTTCAGTGGTTGTTGTGTGTAGCACTTTGCTTTCCCAGGTTAATGAAATGCCTGACCAATACTTGTTTAAAATGATCTCAACAAAGAATGTCGTTCTCTCTTATGTTGGTTCTGTTTTTTTAAAGAGGGTATTTGATTTGCTCATTTGGTTTTGATGCATTAAATATAATTTATGTACATTTGACAAATTTTAAAAATAAATTTAATTTACCCATGAGGGAAAATCTACATTCGAAATGTATGTGTTTTCTTATGTTTCGTTTCTTGTTGGAAAAAAAAAATACTTCCCAAAATGTCTACAATTCACTGATGATAAGTATGTTTAATTTTGATGTAGTGTTGTCCACAATGTCTCTACATGACTCTACATTTGCAAGGATACTAATTACTAAAGCTTAATTTTACAGCCTTTAAAATGCAAACTTTGCAATGACAAGTACTGGATGACTCATTTCTTCTTAGAGATTTCTACATTAGTACTGTATGTGTAATACCAGGCTGTAAAATAAAGCATTACTTTGTTCTCTAATCATCCCGACTATGCCATTTGTGATCATCTGTATGCAATGAGCTTTACTGCTCATATAACACTAAAGAAATGAAAGCATATTGATCACGACCTGACAGAACCTGTACATCGACTGTTTGCAAATAACAATTTTTTTCTAATACGCCACAGTGATTACAAGTCAAAGCCAAAGAAAAGCAGGTCACAAGGTATTTTACAGCTATTTACAAATTAAATGGATTTCTAGTCACAAGTTAGATTTCTGGTTTAATGCATGTTGATAAAATGGTATGATGAAGATGTTATTTATTACAAATACTGAAAATAGGCCAGGCATTATCATTCAGCAGATCAGCAGCAGGCTCGGTTTTGTTTGTGCCACTGAAAATGTGGCTTAGGGAGATATTGCCAGGGCAATCAATGTTCAGAGGATTTTTATTACTTTAAAAGATTCCGTGCCTTCTCAGTGACCACCTACCAGAAGAAACAGAGACAGAAAAATGTCAATATAAGGACGAATTAAGGTTTTATCTCCCACCAAACGCTCACTCTCCAGGGAGGTCAGAGTGCAGGGTCTGGCCTTGCTCAAAGGCATTTCTGCAGGACATATGTGTTATTGGGCTTTGTGGCGAAGTTGATGTCTCTCAGCCTCTTGGCCCCCCTGCTGGCCAGGAGGAAGGGTGAAGGGAATGTGCTAAATTGAGATGGACTCCAGCCCAGATGCCAACTCAGACTCCAAGTTTGCTCTTCATCCAAGAACCCACATTAGAGGATTGGTTTAGGTCATCACAGCTTTGCAAGCGCTAGTGCGATGCCTCAGAACTGGTAATAAATTGTATAAAGTCAAAACAAGACTATCTTTGTGAAAGCGCATTGTATCCAGTTGATGAAACACTAATAAAAATCCTTTTATTTTCAAAGTCATGCTACTTAGAAGCACAATGGCAGTAATCGCTCCCAGGAATGCTGCTAGGGAAGATTAATATAACAGGTTTAGTCTGGTCCATCTGCCACACTGCAAGCTGAGAGAGAACTACTTGATCACACTCATATTTTATGGCTGCTGCAACATGGTCATCATTATCTGAGCACTGCCTGACAGCACTGAATGGTATGAACGGCCTGTGCAACATCCTGCCACTTTTTTACCGTTTGGTACAAGTGCCAGCATGTTTATTTGCACAGCATGTGTTTGGAAATGCTGCCTTCACTCTAGCATTGCTTCCATTTTCATTCAACTTGTAATTTAGTGCTAAAGCAGCATTGGCTTCGGTGGTGACGTAATTCCTTGCAGGCGTCTCTGGTGTTGGCCACTAGAGGATGCTCTCTACCTATATATGATCAGAAACAAAGTCCCAGTGGAGAGAGATGCCTTTGGCTTCACTGTGGTAGAACTAACAACAGACATGGTAACGTGAACATGTGTTTAAAGAAATGCCACAACCTGCATCGAATATGTACATACGATTTAGAATCACTGCAAACAAATTAAACCACTATTTATGTTTTATTGTTGTAACCCTTGCTCAATAGGTTAAGCTCATATATTAATGCCACCGTACCTGGCATCATGTCAGGATGTCATTCAAATTTTTTTTTTAAAAAGAGCAAACGTGTAAACAATGCACTATATATCAACTAACTGATGAGAAGGTAAGAAGACATGAAAACATTTTCATAATCTGATATTTAAGCAATAATTAAACAGTGAAATGACATCTGTACGTTATATCTATTTAATAGTTAGTGCAATGCAATTTTGTATTAATTTTATTTATACGTACACCAGGAGTTTTGTGGGTGGGAGAGCACTGAAGTTTAGGATTTTTCCCCTCTTTCTTTCTTTCTTTTTTTTTTTTTTTTTTTTACAACTTCTTTAATGTGTGAGGTCAACTTCCTGAATTGCTTGCTTCCCCTTTTTTAAATAAAGTGTGTGTGTGTGTGTGTGTGTGTGTGTGTGTGTGTGAGAGAGAGAGAGAGAGAGAGAGAGAGAGAGAGGGAGGGAGAGAGATTATGGAATGCTGTGATGTCATCAGCCCAGTCATACACACACAAAGACGAGGAGGACCCACAGGCGCTCTGACTCTCTCAGCTTAGTTAGCATACACTGCTGTGGAGCGGCTGTCTACATCCCACTGTGAGTACTTCAGCAAATTCTACCCTTCTCTTGCAACTCCCTTTGGCTTTGTATCACCTCCTTTCTCTGTTCACTTTCTCCCCCTTTCCTGGGCTTCCTTCTCTGCAACCTACAATGTGTTTAGTAGACACCAATCTGTATTCCACCAGTGTGATAGTTCTCAGCCTGAGACAAGCTTTCTTTCCCTCCAAGTGCTGCTTATGTGGTAGCCATTGTTTAACTACCTACTGTGATTGGAGGAGTCCATTTCAATCCCCTTGTTAGAGTAACCGGCTCATGCTGTCCTGGGCTATGACCCTGGTGTGTTTTGGGTTTATTTTTTTCTCAGGCAAGCAGAAACTGACCATGTTAAAAATGGAGCCGCTATCTCGTGGGAGTTTGGGGGAGAAAGGAACATGGGTTTGGGAAGGGACGTGTGGTGAGGTGGGGGAGGAGGGAGGAGGGCCACTGATGACAGAAACAGTCCCATTCCTTTGGAATCTCCTCCCATTTTGGGCTGCAGTCTTTCTGTCAGTTTAGAAACAGAGTTTGAGCTCTTCCGTAGTCATGAAGGGAGGGACAAGATAACCGACTGAAACAGACTTTCTAAAGGAATGACTGAAAGAAAAAAGTTTTTGAATGCGACAAAGGTGGAGTCAAGAAATATATAGGACTTTGTAACTTTGAGAAAATGTAGACCTCTGTAGGGCACGATATAATCCTCCAAATGTTTGATTCAAGTGTTCTCTGTCGTTTTTCTTGTAGAATGTCCCAATGATGACCTCCAAAGACAAAGCAAACTGACATCTTAGTAGGGTGGGGAAAGTGTCAGCATACCACAGGGAGGAAACAGGATTTTGTGTGTGTGAATGCGTGTGTGTGATTGTACATTATGTACAAAAGTGTGTGTGAGGTTGAGCATGAACCTTGATTCACGAGGAAGAGTTTCCGAGTAAATAAGAGTGGATTTAGGATAAAGAAGCAGTGGAAGTCTTCTTCTAACGACATGACACTATAAACCAACACTGTCCACCTGAAGAAGCTGCTGGCCAAAGGACAGCGCCTCCTCCCTACACCTGCTTGGCCACGCAGTTCCAAGTTAGCTGCACCATTCAGCCGCCAACATGCTGCAGCAGATTTTAAAGGACATGTACATTGACCCCGATGTGCTGAATGCACTTAATGAGGACCAGAAAAAGACTCTGTTCCTGAAAATGCGCCAGGAGCAGGTGCGACGCTGGGAAGAGCTGGAGGAGAAACTAGAGAGAGAAGGGGTAGACACTGACTGCAAACGAACAAAGCCAAAAAAAGGTAACCACGCCACCACCACCGCTTCACCTTTTGTTAACTTTTCTTCTTCCTGTTTATCTAGTGCGACAGGGTGCAGCTTCAAGTTTTTCAAGCACACTGACCATCACACTTTTAAACAAAGCTTTTGACAGAAAACCATCTGTTCCCCTTTGTGCAAAACAAATTCTGAATCCTTTTAGGGAAGATGTTTGCACAGTGTGCTGTGGATCATCTGATACAGAGTTACAAAGCATGAGAAGTGCACTGCAGAAGCATGTGTGCATTGGTTGTGACAAACATCCTGTGCTGCTGGAGATACTGTCACTGCTGTAGCTCATGTTCCCCGTCATCTCAACAGCTGTTTGCCAAGACAGGCACAGTGTTTACCTGAAGTCCATTTGGCAAGTTTAAAGTTTCCTAAAGTACAAACTTGGGCTAACAAACACCAGCTGCTCCACATTAACGTGTCTGTCATGCTGTAGAAACGGACTTGGACTTGGAGGAGGACGATGCTGATCTGCAGCATGATATACAGACGGAAACCAAAGAGCATTTATAACACAGAGTTCTATTTATATCTGAAGCCCTAAACAATTACAGCAGATTGATGATGCTGGTGAATCAATGTTAACATCATACTCACAGATGATGTTAACATTTATACAAGCAAAGTAAAGTAGATGTCAAGGTAAAATAATATTCACTCTGAAATGGGTATATTATAAGTGTAGTGTTTCAGGAGTGCTGTATGTATTTCCATAATAATGGATGTGAAGTGTCTGTCTGAAGTGTATGTGTTTACATGCACATTTTTTGCTTTCAGTGCTCACACTTAGATCATTTTGTTCCTGTTCACACCACAGAATGTGAGCCTAAGAGCGACAGAGAAGAATATTCACTGGGTCACGGACGTCACTCATGTCTGGATCGCATGTTTGATGCAAAATAGATGGCAGACGAAAATATCAGCGTGATTGACAGAGATGACAAGAGAAAAAAAAGGGAAGGGTAAATGGGTTTATCAGAAACTGGCTTCCGCTCAAAAGAGACAGTTGGAGTCAACAGCGTACACGCAGAAATCAAACAAAACAACCAGAAACTCAGGAAGCCACAAGTGCGTCCTGTAACCGGTCTGACGCGTACTAAAGAATCTTGCCTCTCTGCATTTTTCTCTTTGGTGGCACCAAGTGATGAGAAATGCGTGGGGTAATGACTCTGACATAACAAACAAATTGCTCTATTTTTATATTGCAAACGGGAATGACAAAGCAAACTACAGAAGTTTTGGAAAGATACAGCAGTTAATGAAAAACAGTGGTGGAATTTAACTAAGTACATTTACTCAAGTACTGAACTTAAGTACACATTCAAGGTTCTTATTTTTTATATGAGTATTTCTATTTTATGCAACTTTATACTTTTATGGACTACAGCTGACAGCTCCTTCAAAACTGTCCAGTGAAAGCTATGTATCTCCAAATTTGGTCATTTGGTCAAATTATTAAGTGGATTAAGGATAAAGTGTTCCTTTATGAGCAATTGAGAAATGAGAAATTATAAAACCTCCTTTTTTAGCTCTGGAAAAGTTGAATTTTTAGAGATACTTGGTTCTCCA